GTGGCCTCTTTTGGAGGCACACCTGAAGGGGAAAACACCTTGAAACCAAACTCTGCGTCTCTTTGATTAGATGTAAGCTCGCTCTGTACCCGCCCAACACGAAACCTGCTGTTTGGATCCTTCCTGTTACAGACGCCGTGCAGCAGCTTCACAGAAATCACGCCACGGCTGTGGAGTGCTCTCATTGTGCAGCCTCTCACTCAGAGTTATTATTAGATACTTGGCTCTCGCATTATTGGCTAACACACAAAATCAGCGAGGTCGTCCCACCTGACCCCCTCAGAATCAGCTCCATTAATAAAGCCAGTATCTGACATCACACGCTGTAGGTTTTCTAAGCTTTGGTCCTCAGAGCAGAGTGGGTCAAACATTTGGTGCTTTTTAAGTCACTTAATCCATTTTTACATCTACATGAAAACTTCCTATGAAGCTATGAGGGTTCAAAAATGTTCTTTTTTTAAGCAGCTTCCTTTAGAGGTCACCACCGAGGATCATCTGCCTCCACTTCATCCTCCTCAGTCACACCGAGCATCTGCAGTTCCTCCTTTCTTTCATAAATAATGCATCAGCTGATTCTGAGGGTCGGATCAGGATCTGGTTGATCTTTTATGCCAGATGTGTCGAACTCCAGGCCTCGAGGGCCGGTGCAGGTTTTAGATCTCACCCTGGGTCAACACACCTGAATCACATGATTGGTTCATTACCAGGCGTCTGGAGAACTTGTTGACGAGGTGATTCAGCCATTTGAATCAGATCAAGTAACGACACAGAAAACCTCAAAACCATCCAGACTTAAGTGATTAAATAGATTTTATTACTTAAGTTAGTGCAGCCTGGCTTTAACACTGACCTTTGTTTTCGTTTGGATCGGTGACGTGATTGGAGGCTTTTTGCTGCTTGGATAAAGTGGGCGTGGCTCACGCCGGACTAGGACTGTGATGTTGGCTGATGATGCACCGACAGCTCTGATAGTTTTAACGGTAGAATCACAGAATCATCGTTGATCCCAGCGATGTCCACATGACGTGACCCCAGAGATGTTACTGAGTTGTGATATTTAATGTTTTGAGTTTTCTTGTGTATTTAGTATCACTGGTGGAATTAAATGTTTATTTTGCACTCAAAAGAATCACAAGTCCTTTTATAACAGTTTTATGTTTTTATAGATTTTTAATCACCATCTGTGGAGTAGGTGGTGCTTGAGTCAACTGTCTAGTTTTTACATTTCCTTGCCCCTCCCCCTCGTCTTCACCTGTCGCTGACTGTCAGCTGCTGTGTGCTTTGCTCCCTCATGCGCCTCGTTGTGTCATCACTGCTTCCTCTATAAATAGTCTTGTTTGTTAAGACTTCTGTTTATGATCCCTGATTCGCTCGCTGCGTCCTTCCTGATTTCTCGTGTTTATTTTTGGATTTCAGGGTTTTTTCCCAACCTTTGAACTTTGTGACTTTGTACTTTTGACCCTTCAAAATAAAGGCAAACACTGTACGCACTGACAGATACAGATCTCATCATTTGTCTTCACTCAGGGAAACAAAAATGAATGTGTGACGGAGTCTCAGACTTCCTCTCTGGTCACCAACAAACCTGTTTTCAGGCTCGTACCTGAACGTCAAGTCACAAACTTGTCAACGACTCTTCAGAAGCCGAGTTTTGTTCTAAATGATAAAAATTAAAATCTTCTTTTAACCAGTGAGCACGTCGGTGTGCTCGCTGTGGACTTACATCAGGGATGAAGGGTGTCTGCAGCATGCCGGCCTCCAGCCGTTTGAAGTTGATGGAGCGGAAGATGGGATGAGCTTTGACCTCAGTGGCTCCGCCCCCCAGGCAGCCCAGCCTGTCGGTGGGATCTTTGGCCAGCAGCTGAGGGGTTAAAAACACAGCGGAGAGTTACTGCTTCAGGTCAGGCGTTAAAGCATCAGCGGTTACGCCTCAGACAAAAGTTGAGTTTCATTTTCCACCAGTTTTACAGAGTTTTAGCAGGAAGCTGTGTGTTTGTATTCAAAGCATGACGTGTCTGTGAAAAGCAGCCAAAGGCAAAGAGTTCTGGATGTTTGCTACCCTCTTTATTAAAATGAAGCAGACACAGTGTCAGTGATCCAGCTTTGCTTGTCTGGCCTCCACAGTCTGTACGCATCGTGAGTCTGATCTTCAGGAGGAAGTTCCCTCGTTTAAAGCTTGTTTTCCTAAGCAGGGAACATCTTTCAGCCAAAAGTATTGCAGATCATTACTTTAAGTGTACGCAGACCAGTTGAGC